AAGAAGAATTAAGTACGAATTACAATGATTAGAGCAAGGGCTGATTTAAATACCAGAACAAAATTACATTTCACCTGATTCCGAAAATTTTAGAGCCTTTAGCGAATCGACTTGTCGAACAACGATTTTATGATGTAACTGACACATTGCGGCGATTGGCACCAAAGAGACCTAAACGACAATTTACTAGAGGACCAGTTCTTCCACAAAAATCTGCATCAAGACCAACCTCAGAAAGAATCTGCGCCTCTTCTTCCGGTGCTGTGATGAAGAGCGCGTAGTCGTTTTCGGGCTTTTTCCGATTTATACTCAAGAGGACATCGATGCCTCGCCACATGTCGTTTTTTTAGCCAACAGCCCGATTTGTAGTTGGAATGAAATGGGAGTATAAACAGCATAAAGAGTATTTTGTATTTTAGTCCTTTTTCCCACAAGCTCTAACTGTCCTTCATAGTTACCAGCATATTAATATGGTACTTCCTTTCAGCGTTGCACTTTTTGCCCTTTGCATTTATACATGCTTTAGGAACATTAAGTATGAAGCACTAAAGCTTCTGTTTTTCGAGTATGAGTCACTTCGAAGAGCTTCGTTTTTTTTTCGTAAAAAAAATAATTGCCCTATAATCTCCGCTGGATAATAGTTGTTGTCTATAGTAGCGTGGATTGCCGTTGTAAGATGTAACGATAGTAACTTCCAGACACAAAAACGATAAATCTCCTTATGGACTAACATTAATGGAGATTGTGACCAAATAAGTTTGAGAATCAGTGCAGGTATAATTCTTGAACTTGCAAGTATTACTGTGCGATTTTGAGCGAGATGCCACTTTATAGTTATGGGATAGGTGACGCGACTGTTAGATATTAATATCTACATAATGATTGCTATACCAGCAAAATCCAATCCTACTCTAAGATTTTTCTCCAAATGTACACCGTTTAGCGACTGAACAAAAAACGCAATGAAAGAGTTCGAAAGGCGAATTCAGCTTCATTTCCGTAGACAAATAGTGTGCTGTCAGGTGCGTCACTATTTGAGAAGATCTCTACCGAAAGAAAAAGGTAAATGTCAATGTCAAAGGTAAGTGCAAGTTTGAAAAGCTGTGAAATTTTTGTCTTCAAGTGCTATAGTTACAAAAGCTGTGTCGCGGAAACTAAGAGACGGTGGACGCTAATAATTCTTATGTCGGCTTACTCAGCCCGTTGAGTAGTACGTAGCGTTTCATCATAGTTTTACAGTACGAAACGAATCGTCCATCGCTCTTCACTATTATAGGATTACGGTAAGATCAAGATTCTTAGTCAATGACATACAAAAATGAATGCCCTAAAAAACAAGTGTGAAAAGTGGAAATTTTGTTAAGAGGTCGATTAGCATTATAACTGATACACGTTTTCGTCCTACCATATTCCCTGATACAAAGATTACGACAGATTATCGTGGTTTGAACGATAACTATTGAAAAAATTTGTTATACAAACTACTTGATCTACAAACATCCACAGAACCGTAACCATAATCAACGGGTTCAAAAATTCCCCACAAAACTTTTCAGGCGTTTTAGAAGCTTACTTAGAGTTTTCAGAAGTGTTTTACAATGAAATAAGTTTCCTACAGCTTCTATAAGGTACATATCCAAAAGACAAGCACAAAAAGGAGTTAAACAACAAAGTCAAAGAAACAGCACAGAGAAAAAGAAATGTTCCTAACGGAAAGAGATAAATGCAACCATGT